AGAGGTGCCAAAGTCTGCATCCCAGCAGGATGAGATTATCAAGGGCATTGCAGCAACAGAGGAGGAGCAGCTAGATGCACAGTCAGGAGGGTATGATTGAGAGTGATCCTAGTGATAGCTCAGATGATGATTATCAGGCTATTCCTAAGATGCCTCCACGATGACATGACGGTAAGGCCAGTGGCTCTAGCTCAGCTCCATAGGCACCGCAGACAGACCCCGCTCTACTTGCTATTCTTGAGCAGATGAGGCAGGATCAGGCTCGCCAGGCCTAGGAGATAGCTGCTGCTCTAGCACAGGTTCAGGCTAGACAGGACGAGTTCCAGCGACAGCAATAGGCTATACAGCAGCAGTAGCAGCTCCTCATTCAGCAGCGGTTACTTGGTTTCATGCAGCATGTCGTTACTACTATTGGAGCTCCACCGCCACAGCTTACACCTCAGCTCGGCTAGCCTGCCACCACTACAGTGACTCCAGGTTTTCAGCCCAGTGGGCTTCAGAGTCAGGGACAACTAGCTACCATGTTCGCTTCACCTACAGAGCAGGTGTCCTAGTGGTTTGCTTCACCAGTGCCAGCCCAGGGTCTTTCCTTCACACCTCTACATACGGGCTTCACACCGGCACAGAGTTCCTCGTTGCTTGTGACTGATACCCTAGTTTTTAGGAGCCTTGGTGCTACTTTCAGTGAGTTGACAGGGCAGTCTACACCGCTACAGCTACGTGTCCCTGGACCTTCCACTGTTGCTCCAGTTACTAGGACTATAGAGATGCTCCCATCATCAGTTGCATCATCAGAGCCACCTGGTATAGTCATACCAGCAGAGTCACAGGTCGCACCAGTTCTAGAGCAGACCCAGACCGCGTCAGCGTCACTTCCAGCGATAGAGGGTCAGACAGCTCATAGCTCCGGATCAGAGGATGATGCTACCCAATTCTAGATCGCTCATTGCATCTCAGCGCCCGACCTGTCCGCTGCTGCCCCGCCGATAGACCCTTAGGTTTTGGTGCTTGACGCCAAAGGGGGAGAAGGATCGAGTATGATAGATATAGGGGGAGCATTATATTTAGGGGGGAGCTTATTTATTACATTTGGCTTTTTATGTGTGATACATTATTATGCATTCATGTTTACTTTCATGCATTGAACTACATAAGTGTGATTGTGATATTAATGTGATACGTGATATTTATGTGATATGTGACATGTGTGCTCTCTACTTTGATCTTTATATATGTCATGTCACTTGGTTGTGCTCATTTGCCTTGCTTCCGCGTTTTACTCCGATGCAAATGAGCTTTATTTCTTGTACTCATGCTTATTTCATATCTATTAAGTGCAGCATCTTGGCTTGGGTCATATAAGCTTGCCTAACTCTTTTGTTCTTATTGTCAAAAGCTTATATGAACCAAGCATGTTGAAAACATAATCTCTTTTACATACTCGAGGTTGTATTGTCATCAATCACCAAAAATGGGAAGATTGAAAGCATCTAGGCCCCTAGTTGGGTTTCGTTGATTAATGACAATACGTGATTACTATGACTAACGTGTGTTTTATAGAGGCAATTAAGTTAGGTCATGGTAATGACAATTGATTGGGCAATCATGGTTGTCATGCTCATACGATGGAAATCGTTTCGGTTTTCAAAGGATGGACAACAAGGTTAAGGATGGACTAGTTCTAAGTGTCGTTTGGTGTTGAAGAGACACTTAGAGTAGTTTAGGACTTTGTTTTTTCCTTTGGCCGTACTATTAAGGGGGGTATGAACTAGTAGCTTGACCTAGGTGAGTCTAGTGGGTTAGGTGTGGTGCATACTTGTCAAATCTAGCACTAGGTAGCTCCAAAGTAGCCCTAAGATCAATTGGAGAAAACTTCATTCACATATGATTTCGAGTTGGAAGTGAATGGAGGGTCAAATGTTGACCGGACGCTGGTCCCGGTGTGACCGGACGCTGGCAGTAGAGTCCGATCAGTTCATTTGATCAAGGTGAAGTCGTCTGGTTGAGACCGGACGCTGAGAGAAATGTGACCAGACGCTGGGTGCCAGAGTTCGGTCAACTCCAGTAAGGTTCCAGAGAGGGAGAATCCTGATCGGACGCGTCCAGTCAGTGCTGACCGGACGCTGGTCAGGTTCCGGTTGCTGACCGGACACTAAACAGCAAAGTGACCGGACTCTGGGCGCCAGCGTCCGGTCAACATCAGTAAGGGTCCAGAGAGCAGTTTTCGTGACCGAACGCGTCCGGTCAGTGCTGACCGGACGCAGGTCAGAGTCCGATCACAACTTAACGGCTCTGTGGCGGGGAGATCTGACCGGAGCGTCCGTACACCTTGATCGGAGCGTCCAGTCACCCCGTAGAGTGCTGACTCAAGCACATAACGGTTCGTTTTAAATGAGAGGGTATAAATACTTCATCTATTCATTCAAGGGAGTACTCTTGCCCATTTCAATAGCTGAGAAACACCCCTGAGAGTGCTTAGGAGAGCAAGAACCTAGTGAGGTGATTGAGATTTGAGAATCCAAGATTAAGGTCTCATTAGTGAAAAGAGAGTAGCAAGTGTGCATCCACCTTTCTCATTAGGCTTGTTGTGGTCAAGTGAGAGTTCTTGCTTGTTACTCTTGGTGATTGCCATTACCTAGACGGCTTGGTGGTGATTGGAAGTTTGGTGATCATTCGGCGGAGCTTGTGATGACCCAACTCAAGTTGTGAGCGGTTGTGGGTGATTCACTGCGATGGAGTGTCGAAGAATCATCCCGTAGAGAGCACTTGATCCTTGCGCGGATCAAGGGGGAGCTATACCCTTGTGCGGGTGCTCCAACGAGACTAGTGGGGAGTGGCGACTCTTCGATACCTCGGCAAAACATCGCCGTGTTCCTTCTCCTCTCTTTACTTTAGGCATTTACATTTGAGCAATTCAATTCTTGTCTTTAAATTCTTAGAATTGCCATGCTAGAGTAGGAATGAAACTTATGGTGCTAAACTTTTGTGCGGTAGATCAATAGAATCACTTTCTAGGCACAAGGGGTGAAGTGGGCTAAGTGTAGGGTTTATTTATTACAAAGAATTTTAAAATTAGCCCAATTCACCCCCCCCCCCTCTCTTGGGCATCTTGATCCTTTCAGTGGTTAGTGTGGGAATCAAAGTGTTGGGTTGAGAAATTTTGATATAGTGAACAAAAGAGAACAAGCCAAACCTTGAGAACTTGTCAGACTTCCCTAATCATTCGTTGTGCATTTGTTACTTTTAGAGGTGAAGCCTCTAGATAGTTAGGCATCGCCCAACGAGCTCCCATGCTTGTGGTGAGCCACGAGAAAATTTGTATTGCCCAAAGATCTCAGTGAAACCCTCAAACTCAACCTTAGCATTTGACTTGAGAAGATGATAGAGATACAAAGAGACCCAAAGCCGTAACACCAAGGTGTTAGAAAGGACGTTAACATTAAGCATGCCTACGTTAACTTGGTTAATGTAGGGTAACGGTAAAGTTAGTGTAGAAAGGAACTCCAAAAACATATGAAGGAACAAAAACCAAATTTGGGAAACGAACAATCTCAGGTGTTACATTTTAAAACCCTAACTCTCGTACCCAACTTTAGTTGTTCTACAGGAAGATGGGTCACAGTGTCACACCTTAATAAAGCACATTTAACCTTAATATAGTTTAATGGATGCAAAAGTGGCTTGTATAATACTACGGTTAATATAATATAATACTATAAACGTTATACAGGAAGATGGAGTCACACCTTTGATATTATATTTTATTATCCATAGTATTATATTATTATTTTTTGTGAGACCCAATACATAGAATAATCGTTCGGACACTCACCTCCTATAAACAAAGCACGCACACCCTCATGAGTATCTTGGAATAACCGAGACGCCTCGATATCGACCAAAGCCTGATCGGCCGGGCCTTATTACCTTGTAAATGATCGTAAATTTTCAGCGTATTTTTCTCTCACACCAAATTAACTAGCAGTACTTCTTCACGATCCAGCAACGATCCAGCCTAGCCAAACGAATAGACTGCAACACGTCATTTACCACAAAAAAACTATGAATAATATTATTTTTAACTAATATTATTCATAGTATTACTATTTTATTCGTAGTATTATTATTACAAGCTAAAAGTTACTAGTAGTGTATGTTTGGATCAACCTGATGATATTTTATCCTAGCTTTGCCCTAGTATATATGTATAGTATCTAAAAAGGTCAAAAATCTAAAATATCTTATAATTTAAAATAGAGAAAATAGTGTAGCAATGGAGTGCTAGGGTTGCACGGGCTGCGGCTACAGCTGCGGTAGACATAGGCATCTGCTTTGGTGATTCACGGTAGCAAATGCCTACGACTGCAGTAGCAGCCGCGGCAAGGACTGAAGGACGGGACCTGTACTATGGCTGTACCGTATACTGCTGGCTTATGGATCGCAATCCGCAAGCTGTGGCCAAGCTGCAAGCGTAAATAAAGGAAAAAAGCATCAGCCAACGAAAATGTACAGAGCGCGCAAGTGCCGCGCTGGAACTACATCCTTGCGAAATTCCCACTTCTGGTCTGGGGAATCAGGGTTTGTACAATAGTTTAGAACACCAAGTGCAACAGGTTGAAATGCATAAAGACGCATACTCAAACTGTGGAGTCTCAACCAAAGTTTAATCCGCCAATCATTCAAATTCAATCAATCAACAAAAGAAGGTAATAACTTCTGGATATTGATCACATGAGAAAGAACTCTGCATTTTCTATATTACAATTCTCGTCCATTTATCTTCATAAGGAACTGGACAGCTGGTATATGTAAAATGAAAATCTAAGTGTGTGCGGACTGCGAGCACTGGCCCGCACTCTGCACAACTCTTTCAAGGGCTCAACCTATCTAACTAAATAAAAAACGCAAGTGAAGAAGAAGTAAAGAAGCAAACAAAACTGAGATGCTGCAAGTGAAGTCTCAGCCCTAACTAAAAAGCTCAGCAGAACCAAAACCGCAGCTCAAATGTGGAGTTTATTGAATTCAGAACTCGCTGCTGCAGCGCTGTTCCGATCTCTGTCTCCATTGTGCGTGTGAGGTTCAGGCTCAGCCCTAGCTGGTGCAGAGCAGTTCTGGGCAGCGGCTCTTGCTGGAGCTGTTACAGTGGTAGAATTCACCACATTTGGCCTGGCTGAGCAGACAGGAACAGCAGTTCGAACTGTAACGGGTGCAGCCAACCAAGGAGGTCGCTGCTGGAACACTGAACTTGGTGAGTTTACAGGAGGTGCAGATCCAAATCTGGGTAGAGTTTGTGAGCGGGAAGACCATAGATCAGGCAATGCAGGCGGATTAGTATGAGGAGGATTCCTTCTAAGTATAGGCTCATCATGCTGGATGGAGCTAGCATAATGCTTTCGCTGGACAGAGTTCTGTGCTGCAACTGAAGGACTAACACAAGACGAGGATGGCATTAGCTGTTGTTCATGGGGCTGCTTCAAACCTGCCTGCAACGTTTGCTGATCTTCGTTTGGTTCCAACTTGTGGGATGACGGTTGTGTGGTAGAGCTTGGGACAGTGGGAGTGTCATGTTCTTCCTCAGGGGAAGTACTGCTCCCAGTACAGCCTTCTTTCCCATTTTTGGTTGGTTCTTGAACCTTGCGTGGTGGACCACCACGTTCTGATGTCCTAAAGGAATCTAGGGTAGCGCATGGCGAGAATACCACAGCATCAGGAAGCTCAACTGTTTCAGTGTGGTCCTGCCTTTTCTCATGAATTTTGTGAACAGTAACCGGCAAAGGACTTCTTGGCACATAGGAGACAGGGTAAGGTGAGAAGTACCGTGGCAGGGCAGGAGCAGCTTCAGGAAAACATGGAAGAAGACCTAGAGCATCCTGGTTAGCCGGATTGGAGAATTGCCCTCGAGGTGGAGGGTACATGGGGAGCATAGCTGCTGGTGGGGGAAACCTTGTATTACCCATAGCTGGTACCACTGGAAAGCGAGGTGTTGGCTGTGTCGCTTGCATCCGATGCCACAGATGGTACATAGCTTGATCTGGTGGAACACTAGGATAAGCCTGATTTTGCATATATGGCCGGTAGAATGATGTATTTGGTTTAGGATAAGATCTCCGTGATGATGGGCGGTTATTGCTTTGCTGTTTTTCCTTTTGATATGGCACCTTGCCACTATTTGCCTGGCTCAAGCTTGCAAGAGTCCGAGTAACTATGACCTGTTCCTGCTCTTCATCATCCTGATCAGCCGGACACGATGAGGACGATGGCTCACCTACCCTGGGCACTGTTAGGAACAGCAAATTAAATAGTCAGCAAGCAAATTAATTTTACAGCAAATTAAAAATGTCGCTACACACAATTTACGGATTAAATATTAGATAGGCACATAAACTTTTGTGAGGATATGATAGTTTTTTCTTATATTCTAGCATCCAAGAATCACTTAACAACTATTCCTACCAAATGTGTTGCTCTAAAAACAAAAGAAGGCGCAACCGAAGCCAACAAAATCAATATGCATCAAGAAACTCAAGTTGGTACCGAATGAAATGGTACTCACGTTGCTTCAATTCAGACCAGGCAGCCATTGCAGCATTTTTTTGAGCTTGCTTCTTGGTTTTGCCAGGATTGCCAGTAAATGTCTTTCCTGCCAACTCCACTGTGCATGTGAACACAGGTGTATGACCTGGCCCAGATCTAATAGTAGTATAGATGGGGAGTTTTAGACCAGCTCGATGAGCAGTTTCTTGAAGAAGATTCTTGTATATCCCGGTTTCATCCTGTGGAATAAACAGAGTTAACCTATCTGCTTCAACAACATTCCTCAAGCTGTTACATTGCCACTCATTGTAATTGAAATGTAAAGAAACATATTTATTAAGCACAAATTTCTCTCTAATCACCGATACAAAAAATGAATAGATGACATCAATGACATAAGTATTGACTATTGATGTACAGGGAAGAAAAAGTTCACAAACATGCCACATTGAAATTTCAACCACTTGCATTGTACTTACTGCAAAATCAGGCAATGTGGATGGGACAATAAGCAAGTCAACATCAGGCATCATAAAAGAATAACACCTTCCCAAACAATCCATAATAAATAACACCTCTTTGGTTTGACTTATTGCAGTAGGAATTGCTAAAGAACAGTGAAATATCAATATACTCTGACATTGGGATTTGGCAGTTTCTGACACAGATCCACAAACCAGATGAAATTGATTGTTCTTTTTTTTATTGCAAAATTGATTGATCTTTGACTCCAGGAAAAGGACGGCCTGCAACTAACATCCGTGACACTCCATCATAATGTCCATTGGCAGTGCAAGTAATCTTGTGTATGGAAAATATAAAGGCTGAAACAGTAATTTTCAGCAAGTTTGACTTCAAAGATGAAAAAAAAACTTCATAGAAGAAACGGAGATGATATTTACCAATTAGTCCACCATGCTATGTAGTCAAATATATTCAGCGTGTGCCAAGAACACTAATCAGTATGATATGATTTATACCATGCATACCTATTCTACAGTCTACATGACCACAATTGTCATCGGAAACATCCATCTTCCCTCTTAGAACCAGACACAGAAAAACAGCTGCAACCATGGTAACGATTGCAGGAAGAAGCATATGCGTAGCAAACCAGTACAGACTGGAAAAACACCTAGGTGCCTAAACCTCTCAAAAGTGTATAACACTGGATTATAACTAACCTGCAGAAACATGACTTCCTGAAATAAAAAAGTGGTAATATTTTCGTTTTGACCTCCAGTGCCTTAAAGAGGGAAAGAAAGGGATTCTCTAGGGTGTTTGTAAGAATATTAAGCTTGTGGTAGTTATCAACAGATGGCCAGCAAAGATGCAAGATAATATCATCTGCATGGTGCTATACTTATGGTAGAAACCAAGGAAGGATATTATTTAGCATATCCTACAATAAAAATTACTGTGATATCTAAGGTGAGTACTCTGCCCTGGTAGTCAACTAATCTCTAGGTAGGACGTTCAAAAGGAGATTCTCCATACAAGCAACATAAAATGATTTCCATATTGTACTGCAGACTGCAATGGAGGATAAGTTTCCAGAGGCATCGACAAAACTAACCAGAACTTTGGCAGCCAGCGTCGACGAAGGCCCCCTCTTTGATAACTCATTGAGCGCTACCTCAGCCGCGGCATGCTCCGCCTGCCGCAAAGTAGAACAAAACACCGGGCTCTCGAACATCTCCCCATTGAAATTAACTGTGGCCTTAAACCGGGGTGCATGATCCGGTCCCTCCCGGATGCATGAATAGGACGGCAGATTGAAGCAGCTCCTCTGTGCAAGCTCCTGGAGCTGGTTCTTATACATCCCTGCACGTTAAGCAACAAACACACATGAGGCAAAGACATATTTCATAAAAGGATAAAGAGTAAGGATGAACAACATGAACGGAAACATCTCATGACAGAAAGAAACACATACCTCCAGCACTGGTGTGCCAAGCAAAGCTTCAGATTGGACAGCAGCTTCTGCCCATACTTCCCCCAGCTCCTTGTAAGAGCCTCGGCCTCCACTTGCTGCAGCAGATAAGATGAAGCAATAACTAGCACTGTACCCACTGTCTTGCAGAAGAACAAGTCCGGGATTAAAGTTGAACAATAAACCAAAATGTTGGAACTGCAACAACAAGAATACGAAACGAGATCAATGCAGCCTCACAGGAAGATTCTCTGCTGACGCCTCAGCTGTACCGGAGCGCCCGGGGATGGAGACGGGGACGGACCAACCAAGTGAAAGGACATGGGGTGTACACATGTATGTACATACACCCAATAAATTTTTTTTTATGAATAAACATACACCCAATAATTTTTGCAAAGAAAAAAAATCGAAGCTTTTAGGCATGTATATACTTGTGCTCAGATGAGATCAGATCCATAGCCAAATAGCTAAAGCTAGGGTTCGGGCGCTCGGTTGCGCACAGCAGTAAGGGAAGAGAAGGGGGTCCCGTCCCGGGTGCGCGTACCTTGGTGGGTGCTCGTCGCCGGCGAAGAACCCACGAAGAAGACCTGGCGAAGGGACCGACGAAGAAGAACTGGGCACTGGGCGTAGGGCGGCGCCGGCGGTAGCCCAGTTGCCGGCGGGGCCAGCGACGCAGCCTCCGGCTCCGTGAGACGAGACGAGCCCTCTTCTTGTCTGTGGTGGTGTTCTTGTCTTTCCTTTCCTCCCCTAACTCGTGCTTACTTGTTGTAATAATCACACATCTCGTCCGGCGGGGCGGCCATGTTCGCATCTTCGTCATAATTTTCGCTCGGGATTAAGCTTTGATTATCACGAGGCAGCTGCGTGATGTTAAGGACCTTTTCGTTTCTTTTATAATCCGTATTTTTTAATTTATTTTTTTAATGTTTTTTTTTAAAAAAAATTAGTCAGAATAATATTTTAGTTTGTTTTTTGAAGCGAACGAGACCATATATAAACCAAATCGAGTCAAATCCACTTCGGTGGAGTGGATACCTCGTTGAGTGAATGAAGAAGGGAAAAAGAAAGATATAGCACGCCACAAGTGTCATCATGCTTCTGACACTATTTTTCAGCCGTCCAATTTTTAAGATGTATCGCTTTGCAGCCTGGGGGGTGTTTAGTTACTCCAAATTTTAGAATTTGGCACTATGCAAAAAGAAGATTCCCCATCACATCAAACTCGTGGTACATGTATGGAGTACTAAATGTTGATGAAATCAAAAACTAATTACACAGTTTTGTTGTACTTTATATAACAACGTTTTTTTCTCTTGGACAATTATTACCAAATAAAAACAAAAAGCGACAATAGTAAATAAATAAACGTGGCCACGCTTAAGTTTGCTCGTACGATCGTCGTAGATTATAAGTTGGAATATTATTTTCTCTCATGACCATAATCTCACTTACTACCAAAATTGGCTCATGACCGTAACTCACACTACAGCAGCTGGCACGTACACGCACGCATTTGATCGCAGACAAAGGAAAACCAACAAGTTTGGAAAAAGAGAATTAGAGAGTTGTCGACGTTCAAACCGAGTCTAGGCCGGTTTTAGAATCGGCCCATACCAATTTGGGCTCATTCTAAGAAAAAACTCTACGAAACCTCATAAAATTGTACCACATTGACCACCCCTACTACATATAAAATATGATGTGCACAGCTGATTGAAGTATCCAACTACATAGTCAAACTTTTATCAACATATAACCACTTTTTACATCTTATCTCTTCCAACACCCATTGTCCTACATGTCTCGAGGCGTTCATGGATTTTTTTTTAGCGAAGAACGAGCATCTGATCGACCTCGCCATTGAGACCCCCTCCGCTGTGTATCTTGGTCGTATGCGGCCTTAGAGATCTAGCCCCTACCGGTATGTGACTCGAATCAGTGCTAACAAGAGTTCAAATAAAAAGTGAATCAATTGTTTGATTAGTTAGAAATAACTATACATCTTGCTTTCTCTAGAGTCAAAGTTTTTTTTAGTTTGACTAATATATAAAAAAATACTAATATTTGTGGGGACTATTTTGTGATGGCCGATAAATATTTTCTCTTAAATTAATCATGACACATATCTTTTATTAGAAGTTTGTTCAAAAATATAAATGTTGATACTATTTTTCGATAAAGTTAGTTAAATTTAGAAATTTTACTCCTCAAAAGCAATGTGTGTAGTTTATTTTAAAATAGGAGTACTCAAAATAACTGCCATGTCAACTGCATCGTGTACAAGGATTGATTTAGACCGGGAAGGAAATATAATTTGTTTGCGATGTCAACAGCATCGTGTGCAAGGATTGATTTAGACCAGGAAGGAAAAATGATTTGTTTGTGAAATTGGAGTGTCTGGTTCTATAGTTTTTGGAGAAAATTCGGACTCTCGCCCTTAGCAGTCATGTTCTCATTCCCGTTCCAGGAACGGGAACGGAACTTAGAGTATCATTTTATAATGTAGGAACGAGGACTCAGAGAACGTAGACGTTTCTAGAACGTGGAATATGAGAACGATAACGTGGGTCATGTTCCCATTCCCAGGCTGCTAAGCTTTGGCCCTCATTTTGGGAGGTTGAAATTATGACCCTTTTTTTCTTTATTCTAAATTGGGCTACAAACAAACATAGCAGTAGATTTGATAGCTGGGCTACAAATATATATATGCTCAACCAGGCTCACAAGGCCTCCTCAACAGCCCACAAATGGACTGCTTGTCCTTCCTCTCGTTGAGTCCTCAACAGCCCACAAATGGACTGCTTGTCCTTCCTCTCGTGGAGTCGCCGCCGCCGTATGTCTAGCTGAGTAGAGCATATGGAATCGATGGATTCACACGTGACTAAATTCAACACCAACACACTAGTTATGCCTTCCCTAATCCCTTGTGGTAAATCCAACTTCGGCTGGAGAAGGAACACGTTTTACAACTCAACTAAATTGAAATCAAAGCAGAACACCAGAACCTGAAGCAAACCAGACCTCTAAACCACCCAGCGTCACAGCCTCAAAGGAGGATACACTTCCAGTTCAGATGCTCAAGCCTAAATAAGGGTGGACTACAACCAGTGAAGTTACCATTCTCCAGAACGAGAGACAGCCACATGAAGGCAGAGCCACATACAAGCTTGAATTATTTCGCATTCACAAATCACAAGCTGGAGCAACAGCAACCCATAATTAGAGAGGGGAGGTCAAAAAAGTAGAGGCTCCAGGTACAATTGTTCCAATAGTACAGTACATTGTGGCATTGGAATGATCCCATATTTTTTATACATGAAAAGAACTAAACACGCTAAGAAAACAAACCCAAGTTTTCTCAAGACGCTATCTAGTAGTTCCTGTAACTCGTCGAGTCTCCTCCCTACAGTTATTAACACCTGAAAGGGGCCCCGAGTCTCGCCCTAAACTCGCAGAAACAGTTGTACAGCTGATCGGAGATTATGATAGGATTATCGAGATCACCAGCCTTTCTACTTCAAGGAGACGATCCAAGTTATGCTAGTAAGGTGTTGAAGGTACAGAATGAGATTAAAAATGGACACTTCCATAGTACCTTTGTAAGCTACAGGGGGCCCCCTTAGACAATCTGGACACAAGCTGGTGTGTCGAACCTTGGACCTGCAATTGTCCGGTAGACATACAATGTCTCGACAGGGCTCTCATCTGTGAGAGAGTCCAAGGGGCATCTCCGTCGAGGATCATTCATGACCTCCACACTAAGGCGGGGCATCTTGCGTGCAAGCTGTCGGCATGCGCCCAGGGTCAGTGAGCACGTCGACATCCAAAGGGATCGCATTGTCTCCAGCTTGGCAGCATTTGCCAGCAATGGCTTATCACCAAATGGGCAGTCCCTTATCTCTAGCTTCTTCAAGCTCTTGCAGCCCGATAGGATGTAATGCAGGCCCAAATCACTGTTCCCAGCGAAGGCAATCGAGAGCATCTCAAGACGATCAGCATGAGCCCCGATGGATTTAAATACAATATCTGTGAGAAGGCCTGAAACAGAAAGCCGCCTAAGGCCCTTGCATGATTCCACAATGGCACTAAAACCTGCATCAAGAGGCTGGTGTGTAGTGTAGTCTGGTGTGTGAGGCTCAATGATGCATAGGCGGAAGCAAGTGAAGTTGGGCCGGTTCTTTGCAATGGTAATAAGGGCCTCATTGGTCATCCGTCTGCAGAAGTAGAGGACCGACTCCAACATTGGGCAACTAGCAGAGACATCAACAAGACCTCTTTCAGTTAAAGAAACCTGCTCAGCTGCATCAAAAGGAGCAGAAGGGAAGACCCGCAACTCCTGCAGTTTATTACAAGATGATGCCACAACAGCTAGACCACGGTCTTCAATCAAGTCCATCACCTGAAAATTGGAACAAAGATGTTTAGAAAAGAACCTTTAGGATATGTATGCTGATCTAAAACAAACACAAGCAATTCATCTGATAGCATTTTGTGAATGAACTGAGTCACTATAGAAAGCCTTCTACCGAGTAATGTCATACTAATTACTGTGTTCTATCAAAACAAGGTTCATGTTTCCCAAAAGAGAGGGAAAAAAACACTAGTTCCAGTAACTACATGTGATGCTCCAAAATACAATGTCAAGCCATGCAACCTAACCAAATGGAAGTGGTAACTGCACTAAAAGCGTATGCACAGGATCCAATATTTACTAAAATAATCAAAACAACATTTATGTAGTAATTCCACTTCCTTGGAAATGAAGTGTCCATACACCAATGATCCAATATGCACGTGAGAGTAGAACTTTAAAGGCAATTTTCAAAACCTTATCAGCTAAGCAAAAGATGTGGATAAGGGCTGCATACCCATAAGAGCTGTAATTTTTTGCATCTGCTAATGAATTTAATCAGTTCAGGGCCTCGTACAGTAGTATAGCTCAGATTTAGTGATGTGAGGCCATCGCATACACAATAAAATGCTGGCAGGTATTCTGGAACGGCATCCCAAGCCCCAGAGAGCCTTCTTAAGCTTTTACAACCAGCAAATGCTGCTTCAAGCTTTGAAAAGAGATCCGGATGGTAATCCGCAGAGAATCTTCCTGTTCCAAGTTCTACAATCTGAGGAGCCTTGCGAAGAAGGTTAGCAAGCTTGTCAAGAGGTATAGCATTGTTGAGCTTGAGAGTCTTGAGATTGTGACATCTGGTTACTAGTCGTTCAAGTACAGTGATATTGACATCCCCCTCTAGGCATGAAAAATTTAGAGTTACCAAAGAAGTGAAGGATTCTGGAAAGAGACTGAGCCAATGAATAGAGCAATCCTCAATCTCGTTCTCCTGAAGGTCAAGTTCTCTTAGATTTCTGCAGAGAGAGCATACCAAAATTAGGAGTTGAAAATAACAGTTCAATAGATGGCAATATGTTGAAAGAACAATGAAAACTGGATCAAGGCAGCCAACAGTCAATGCTGCCATTACTTTAAGTATGAAGATTTGCGAGAGAAAATCATTGAAGGAACTAGAGGTATACTTAATTACTGAAGGCAAATCCTGAAAATACAACTGGTTACCAAAGCTTACAAGTTCCACACATAATTAAGCAAGTTCGTGAAGAATCCCATGTTGGTCTAAATAAAGGAAGCAACACAGATAAACCTAGCTTTCAGTGAGACCTCCTAATATTCAATCACCCCAAAGTCATGAAGGGAAACACGTGAAACATACTCTGTTAACGTGGACAATCTTTTCTGCTCAAAAGCCAAAAAAGGAGAAAGCAACAGCTAATAATCGCAGATATCAAATACACATCATATTGCTTTCCTGGTGTATCATGCAGATGCCTGGGAATAGATAGAAACATTGAACTTGCTAATTCCACCTTTTTAGGTAAAAATGCAGAAAATATTTAGTAACTTGTCAGCAAAGAACCATCCAGAAGCAGATGCACCAAATTGAGGTGCTTTTATGGAATAACCAGTATAAAGCAATATTCCACAACTTATGGCTTTCCAATAAAAATGCTTAGTTCACAGGCAGAGCAGCATCCACGTCCATTGTTACAGGATTGGTCCAGAAATCTCTGAGAACAATCAGCAGATATAAACCAGAGGCAGCAAATAGCAAGGGTATGGGTTTCAAATGACAAGGAAAGCAAATGTGCTAGACACTGGAGTGTTTACACAAGACACCAAAGTTTTACTCACCACGTGGCATTAACATTAGTAAAATAAGCACTTAACCTAATTATTGCATGAATTTTAGGAGGCACTCCTGGGTTTCAGATTTTTTTTAAAAAAAAAATTGGAGCAGCCAATTTTTAGTCGGCCCAAACGTAACCTGCTTAGGTATCCATGCATTGTACATAACCTGGACTGCAGTTCCACACCCATTAGACAAGTAAAAGCCTAAACTAGCAAACTACAATAGTTGATGTCAATGAATAGCTGCATCCAATCATAGTTACCATATCATTTTAATACAAAGTCAAAGATATGCACGCCCCAATTTCCTGGACCAACCTTTTGGAGGTTGCAACAACCCTTGAAGCACAGAGAAAGTTAAGGCTAAAGATAACACAGAACTAGGTTTATATATCACTAAGTAATTAAAAACAGAAATGCTATACAACACACGTGTTTTAGCGCAAAAAAACACATGGATTTTTTTCTCTCTTTTTCCCTCCGTTCTGCTGGCATGGGCACGGGCGCTGCCGTCGCGCAGGCCACAGGCGCGGGTCACGCCGCCCAGGATCCACTCTGCTCGAGGCTGGACATGGTGTCAGGATTTGCCTCTCCGCTCGAGGCTGGCTGCTGCTCTGCTGCAGCTTGCTCCTGGGTAGCGGTGGAGGAGTCTGGCCGCACGCGTCCTCCAGTAGCCTCTCCTCCTCCTCTGCTGTGATTTGTCCTTCCATAGAAAAAAATTGTTTCTTGTGATATGTGAATCTGTGATCTTGTGATTTGTGATTGTCTGGAGATAGAAGAAGGGTGGAGGCTGGAGGTAGAAGAAGGGTGGAGGGTGTTGGATCTTAATTCTATGGTGCAAAAAAAAAAAGTCAAGACAAGTATATTATGCAACCTTGTTTCTAGTACAAATACGTGTATCAGTAACATCCACAACAATATATGCTATCCAAAACCAATCCATCCTCATTCTGTAAATATGTGCCTGTGCAAATACATATTGGTCGAAATTCTCTTTTGTGAATGCATAAGGTGCCTGGGTATCAGAATCCAAGCAAAGATCATTATCAGGTCATATATATTTAAGTGTTTCTTATCACCCAAAAACATAATACAATGATACCGCTTTGTCATGGTAAGGATCAAACTAATAAAAAAATCAGTATCTTAGGTGTCAGATTCTCCAAGTTCAGTTTTTTGTTTCTAAAAGGTAGGCCTTTAGCAAGATCCTAATTCTTTTGGAGATACAGCAAGCTCCACCAAAGGTTTTTTTTAACAAATCCAAAGTATATTTTTTTGTGTGCAATTCAAATTCAACAATCACACTAATAAAGCAAAGTGAAACTGTTTTCCTCCATGCAAACATTGACGATATGACGAAATACACCTAAATCAAGATAGCAGCTGGTAGAACTTAATGACAAAAGGGGGAGGCAAGCTCAAACGCGCAGATGAGAATCTAGATGTCAAAAGCATGCTATAAAAGACTTGATTCTTCGAATCAGATATAAACTTATATCATGACGGGAACTCACTTGAATCTCAAGCATAAATGAAAAGCAAAACAGTTCAAGTCAGATCTAGCATCTCATGAGGTGGGGGGAAGTACAATACAATTGTTTAAGTAAAGGTGCGTCCAATTGGTTCTAGTCTTGAAACAACCCCTATAATTTTAGTGGAAAGATAAAGGGATGCATCCATCATTGCCCAAGCAAACAGAAATGTTTATTCTGCCAAACCCACAGATCCGTGCAAGAAAGAACATCCACAGGCCAATCACTCAACAACAGTAGAATCCGGAGTCAAAGCTTCCCAGGAACAAAATAAAAGCTTACTGAGGAATCCAAGCTAAGAAAGGTCAAACTTTTGATGGTGACATGGGCAACAAAATTGTATTGAAATGCCCTGGGAATCCTTTCAGATGGAGTACAAATCACTCTTTTGAGTTTTGACACAGACAAGTAAGAATCTAAAACAGCACACTAGTCTTCACATCAGGGCAAAGACTCCAGATCACAGTAGAACAAATTGAAGGTTTACCATTTGTACAGTTAACATAAAGACTAGATGGAATCTAAACTGCAGCTGACTACTACTCAAAAATACTACTCAACAAGCACACAGAAAAGATCAAATGCTAAGCTCAAAATCGCCCCCAAGACGTTCAAATCAATTTCTCCTAACCAAGATATACTTCAGATCACAAAATCCTAAAATGACACCAAAAATTGTGGGGGCTTTTAGCTAAATGGGAGGGGGAGGAGAGAAGAAACAAGAGCTTTTTGTGAAAGATTAGATTCCTTAAAGCTCCGAAGAGAAACTCCCAGTAAGCTCAAATCTTTGCGCAAAGGGAACCAAGAAGCACGCAAAGCGTTAGTTTGTAGCTCAAATCTCGGCCTGGATGCGCGGCCTCACCTGCAACCGGCGGCAATGGCAGCGAGCCCGGCGGTACTGAAGCCCTCGCAGGAGACGAGGCGCAGGACCTGGAAGTTTCTGAAGGAGGCCGCGATCATCTCGAGGCAGTCGTCGGTGACGACCATGCGCTTGAAGCTAATCTCCTCGAGCAGCGGCCAGCCGTCAGCGGCGGCGGCGACCCAGGGCGCGGCGGCGGCGCCCCAGGCGGGCGGCACGAGGCCGAAGTCCGCGAAGTGGGGCTTGCCCTTGACCTCGACGGCGCGGACGGCCGGGAAGCGGTCGACGGCGTCCTGCGGGGACGCGGCGTAGCAGTTGGCGACGGCGAGGCGGCGGCGCGAGCGGCGCTCGGCGCGGAGCCAGGAGCGGCAGGCGGCCGCGGCGGCGCCCCGGTCCGAGTCCGCGGGGAGGAAGGAGAAGGCGTGCTCCCAGACCTCGTCCGGGAGCACGTGCCACGGCGGCGCCGCGGCGGCCGGGGCCGCGCGCGAGCCGCCGCGGCCCATGGGGGCGGCGGGGGCCATCGGATCGGGCTACCCGGCGGCGGGGATGGGCGCTGCGGGTGGCGGCGGCGGTAGAGCTCTCGCGGGGGAGAGCATCTGGCTGCTGGAGCTTGGAATGGGGAGCTAGCTGCGGCTGGGGGAGCCTCCTGTGGTCTTCTCCTCTCCTCCCTCCCTCTTTCTCTCTCTCTGCTTCTTCTCTTCGGCTCTGCTACGGCTGATTTAATTTGTCGCGTGAGAAAAAGAGTGTTCCGTGATTAAAAAGATATAACTAGCTCAGTACCGCTCACTCTTCTATTTTTTTTTAATTTTAATTTTTTTTAGAGGGTTTTCATTTTTCCTGCATGCATTTTTATTTAGAGGTCTATGGCAAGAGGGAATGGACAGTGATGGGAGTGGTGGCAGCAGAGAGGCTCTTTCAGTTTGGGCTTTGAGGCCATCCATGGGATGGTTTGCGGTGAATAATCATCTAGAGTAGCTTTGAGGGCATCATAGGTTTTTAGGTTTGATTGACGTGCATGATTCTTTATGGGGACTTTGGTAATTATCGCATTTCAAAACTACTTCTAGGTCTGGTGTGCAGTTTTTCATGGTATATACTTAGGGTTCCACATGGCATGGCTTTAGGTGGATCCAACTTCTCACGAATAGTGCATGGAGGAGTCGGCGCTGATGAAGCAAAAAATAATAGCTTAGTGTTGATACATGTTTGCCAATTTTTTTTTTGTTACCTCGGTGTTTCACTTATATTTTTTCTTGATTTTAGATTGGTAAACGCCTTTGTGCATACGCCTTTGTGTGTGATGTAACATGTGCATTTCAGTTCTCAGGATTTTTCTTTAGGTTTTCATGAGCGGGTTTTGTTAAGCATATTACATCATCGTTGTTTATCTATTTACATGTACAGTAACACTTGAAGGGAAATAATAAAGTGCAAGCTTATTTATCCCAAACTCGAAGTCCCCGTGATGTAGAGCAGTGGCAAAGTGGTGTTGAACTTGTAAGGTCTCTTTCTAATCAGCCGCATATCCCTAGTTTGTTTTGGTTGCTTTTGATTTTTAGCTTATATTTGTGCTTGCTACTGTTAGTCTGTTATTGTTTGTTGCTTGACCCTTTAAAGATTGTTATTGTGATTGTTTTGTTGTACTACTTAATCTAAGATTATGTTTATTTGAATACAACCGGCATCTCTCTGTCTCGTTTAATAATAATTAAAAAGAAAGAACTCAAAGTTCTTACATCATCATGCTTCCATTTTCTTTGTGCACGACGAGGCCTTTGGTCTTGCGTGCGCACAGAGGATCCTGAAGGGTGGGGGAGGTATGGTCCCACGCAGAGTGGACAGTGGAGCCATCAGCCATGGCAGCATGTGCTGGGGGGCATGGGCCTCTGCACCCTTTTACTGCCCCTGCCCCAGTCCCGGTGAGTGACAGCAAAATTAACATCACGAGCAAATTTTTACTTTCACCTTTTTTGACCAGCCTTGCCCCCGTCCGACGTCCCCGTCCTATCTCAAATCCCCGATCTCCGGAATTGGGTTCCTTCCTAAAATTTACTCAATATCCTATTAAATATTTAGAGTATTAAATATAGATTAAAAAATAATTAATTATATAGTTTACGACTAATTTACTAAATGAATCTTTTAAGACTACTTAGTCCATGATTTGACAATATGGTGCTATAGTAATATATATGCTAACGACGGATTAATTGGACTTAATAAATTCGTCTTACAGATTATTGATGAATCCGAGCACCCCATACGATATATCCATATGACACCCAAAACTTTCCACCGTGAATTTAAACAAGACCTTAATCCTGCCCCGATTGTACTACTAGTAACAGTATAACACACGCACGCACGCACAGTGTTTCTCTCTCTAAAATAATCTTTCCTAGCCAACATGAATGTAATTATGGTTCATGAAAAGTATCTAGTTTACATGTATGTTCATCAAAAAGTAATATTAAGGGTGTGTTTGGATCCAATAACTAAAGTTTAGTAAATGTCATATCGGGTATTTGATATTAATTAGAAAGACTAAACATGAGTCTAATTAGGTTTAATAGATTCGTCTCCTAAATTAGTCTCAATCTATATAATTAGTTTTGTAATTAGTCTACGTTCAATACTTCAAATTAGTGTTCAAATATCCGATGTGATAGGGATTAAATTTTATAAGGGGGAACATGCCATACTTAGGGCCCGTTTAGATGCTGAAATTTTTGGCAAAATGACATTGTAGCAGTTTTCGTTGTTATTTGATAATTAGTGTCCAATCATAGTTTAATTAGGCTTAAAAGATTCGTCTCGTGAATTTCGTCTAAACTGTGTAATTAGTTTTATTTTTTATTTATATTTAATACTTTATATATGCGTCCAAAGATTCGATGTAATGTAGAATCTTAAAAAAATTGACATTTTAGGAGGGAACTAAACGGTACCTTAAATTCAGGCCTTGCTTAAAGTTTGGCCAGCACAAATAGGTCCGGATTTTTTTTTTGTTATTGTTGGCACAGAAAATAAACTGTAGCATATTTAACCACTACGGGCTACGGCACACCACAAGTCTGGTGACGAAGCAAACACTGGCTAACTTTAGCCACACTGAGTTGTGGCAAGCTGTGACACGTTTCGGATATAAATCAAACAGACTCTTATTATTGTGTGTCTAACAATCTGATATATATAAATGAAAGGTTTTAATGACTATAGGGGTGAATAACCTATTAAAAATTCTACAACAACACTAAAATAAGTGATTAGTTAATAAGATGGCGAAACGAATTTTACGCTAGCACTACACTTATGTTGCAAGCCACCCACCTAATTCTAAAAACTATGATCTCTAGTATATCACAATAAAGCTTAGTCACTAATTTACACCTAGGTGAGCAAATTAGCAAGAGAACTACAACTAAGAGCTACACTAACTAGTTTCAATTACCACCAGTTCTACACAAGTAAAGGCACAATGTAATACAAGAGAGTGGTAGAGAGGTATACCGTCGTAACAAGTAATCAATCAATGAATACCAATAAATACCAAGGAGACAATTAAGACACAATGATTTTTCTCCGAGGTTCACTTGCTTACCGGTAAGCTAGTCTCCGTTGTGGCAATTTACTCACTTGGAGGCTCACGTGCTAATTGGCATCACACGCCAAACCCGCAACCGGGTGCCGCACATCCAACACAAGATGAGGATCACACAAGCCACGAGCAATCCACTATAGTACATTTTGACTCTCCGCGGGGGAAATGCCAAGAACCCCTCACAATCACCACGATCGGAGCCGGAGATAAACACCTTCCTCCACTCGACGATCCTCGTTGCACCTAGCCGTCTAGGTGGCGGCAACCACCAAGAGTAACAAGCGAATCCCGCAGCGAAACACGAATACAAAGTGCATCTAGATGCAATCACTCAAGCAATGCACTTGAATTCACTCCCAATCTCACAAAGATGATGAATCAATGATGAAGATGAGTGGGAGGGCTTTGGCTAAGCTCACAAGATTGCTATATCAATGCAAATACCCAAGCGAGTGAGCTTGAGCCAGCCATATGGCTTAAATAGAGTCCCCAACCAAATAGAGCCGTTGGGCTCACACTGTTCTACCTCCACAGGGCGACCGGACGTACAAGTCGGGTCAACCGGACGTAGGACCCCAGCGTCCAGTCCGCGGATCTACGCCACGTGTACCTTCCTTTGATTCTCCACCGCGCAATTTCAACGGTCAGATTCGTCCACGCCAGCACTCAAGTGACGACCGGACGCACAGGAGATAGGACCGGACGCGCCAGTGCCAGCCCTACTCGCGCGCGTGCCCGTGCCATCATCCAACGACCGAACGCGCCGTTCCCCGCGATAACCCAGCGTTAGATCGTTTCCAGTAAGCATCCAGAGATGATTTTTCATGACCGGACCCAGGCCAGAGTCCGGTCCTTCTCCTCTACGCGCCAACGCTTCGCGACTGACATCAGCGTACATCACCTTCTGTCCGGACGCAGGCCCTGCGCGTCCGGTCACATTCACTATTTAGCGTCCGATCAAAAGACTGAGGGTGGCCTTCACTAAGCATCACTGACCGGACGCGGCTGCTGAGTCCGGCCGCTGCTAGAGCAGCGTCCGGTCACCTCAAGACAACCCCTTCTCAACTCCAACTTCGCCACCCTTAATCATATGTGTTAACCACCATGTGTATCACCTTGTGCGCGTGTGTTAGCATATTTTCATAAATATTTTCAAGGGTGTTAGCACTCACTAGAATCTAAATGCATATGCAACGAGTTAGAGTATCTAGTGGTACTTTGACAACCGTATTTCGATACTAGTTTCACCCCTCTTAATAGTACGACTATCGATCCTAAATGTGATCACACTCGCTAAGTGTCTCGATCACTGAACCAAAAAAGCTCCTATCAAATTTTACTTTTGCCTTTTGTTTTTCTCATTCTTTTTTTCCAAGCCGAGCAGTTGATCATCACCTTAGTCACACCATCATCATGATCTTCACCACTTGCTCCATTACTTGGAATGTGCTACCTATCTCATGATCACTTTGATAAATTAGGTTAACACTTAGTGTTTCATCAATTCACCAAAACCAAATTAGAGCTTTCAATCTCTCCTTTTTGGTAATTGATGATAACCCTTTTCACAAAGATATGAATTGAAATTCATTTAAATCCATGTTGCTTGCCCAAGCATATTTACTATGTGTAAAAGAATATGGACAAGTTTTATGAATCCCCATTGGTAGCATTTGCTCCCTCTACATATGTGCTAAGAGTTTGGATTAAAGCTTGCACATATCCATGAATTTGAGTTGTGCGAGAGTAATGTTTATAAAATGATGGTAAGGTATAAAAGATGGACCTTTGAAGCGATATACCAATCGGAGTACACCATTATACCACCTTTAGCACCATTACTAACTAGATATACACAAAAACTAAAATACCCCGTGAGATCAACATTAGAAGTAAGGGTCTAGTTTTCACAATATAAGC